AAAATAAATGCAATAATCTTATCATGTAATTTTTTTACGTAATCCTTACCAGAAGATTTTTTAGCATCCCTATAATAGAAAGGTCATTAGAGTCTGAAGAAGGTGGTCCATTATTTGCTCCATCACGAGTCTAATTAAAAAAGGATAAAAAATTGAATTAAGAAGTTTACCAATAGACTAAATTAAAGAAGTTTATTAGTAAAAGTTAATTTAGTTGATAATTTTAAGCACAAAATTAATCAAGTTTGTTAAATAAATAATAATTTTATTTCATAAGCTTTATCTAATATTTTTGTTCTATAGATTACGTATTTGTTCTATAGATTAAGCATTTATAAATTTTCTATTGTCTTAGTATCATATTTTTCAATGCAATTAGAAATTCTTAACTTATCATTGTAATTATTATTAGGTCTTCAACGTGTCTTACAACATGTCTTCAACGTGTCTTACTACATAAATATTAGTTAGGTTAGAATATTATTTTTCAATAGCGAGTCAAAATAAATAGATATACATTTTATATCCTACAGATTCTTAAAGTATTCTTAAAGCATAAATATATTTATTATTGTTATTATAATTATAGACATATTTGCTTTAAGAATATTTTTAAAGTAAATATAAAAATAATTGGTAGAGAAAAGTCGCCAATACCAATGTAAGTCATTTAAAGGGCCACACTTTTATTTCTCGGAAATTAAACGTTGTATTTGTTAATACTGATAAAAATAATTTATTTAAGATGATTAAAGAACTAAAAGATTAAAAAACTCATAATTTATATTAGACTAATTTAATTTATTTAGACTTTTATTTGATCTACACATCACACTAGTCATAATTGATTTATGGCTTGATTATATGACTTGATCATATGATTATAATATGTAAAATTAATTAAAAGCAAATTCTACAAATGTAAAAATAAATAAATTTCTTATGATAATTTATTATGTTCTTCTACAAACTGCTTTGTTTAAATAATAGTGGCTGTATTATAATAATAATACATCGTTTATAGTTTCTTAAATCTACTGTTTTATTTATATATCTTTTTTTCATATTTTTGTAATTGTATTTTTCTCATAATAATGGATTTAAAATTGAAGCGTAAACCGACACATCGTGTAAGATCATAAGCTAACTTAATTTTTATATAATGTTGAATTATAGTGTCAAACATATCGAAAGTGACGATAAGCTTGTATTTAGGGGAAACCAGGGCATCATGGGTAATCGATTGTTTAATATAATCTAGAATATTTAACTTAATACTGATACAATATGACTGTTACTTCGTTGTTCATATTTTTTTCTAGATGACAGTGATTAAATTTCATTTTATCGAAAAGCATCGATCATTAATGGTTTTCGTGGTGTAATAGTAACTTTTTAATCGCATAAAAATGTTTTAATATTGTTTTTGTAGTAAAAGATACATGTTTAAAGATAAGATGCGAGTTTCTGCGCATATTTTCAAAACTTACTATGTTACAAGTTAATAATCTAATATTTATTTTTTATAGTTTTTTATTAAATGTATAACTAAATATATAATTGGGGTACCATAGGTCATACATTAAATATTCATGAAGAAACGGGACAATACAGAAAGTATATATACTATAAATTAAAAATATATACTATAAATTAAATTAAATTAAAAGGGCAGTTTATTCTTCTAAGTAATTAATTTTATTTTATCGTAATAAATTTTTTATCTTATATTAATGGTTATTTCTTATTCGTTTTTTTATAACTTTCCATTTTATTATTTAATAATTATTAGTTGTAATTATATTTTATTGTATTAGTAACTATGCTAAGAATGTGTAAGTTAATTGAAAATACATTTAAACTTTCATCACCGTTATTTCTTGCTATTTCTATTATTTTTCTACATATAATTTTTCTACATTTCTATTATTTTGTATATGGCTTATGATATCTCGAATAAGGCGCCATGGGTTATTTTTTTTTCAAATGTTTTTATTTTTTTTTTAAACTAATAAATATTTACTAAATATACTTATTAAATTTTAAAATATGCATTATGCTTTAATTATTTAAAAAAATTACAAAAATTTTTATATTTTGATGCACTTTTAAGAGTTTGAATGTTTGTGACTCATGGTGCCCCAGTCTTCCCTATATGTACATATTTATATGAAAAAACTCTCACTTTTGCTTATCTTACAAAAAAAGTTAATTATTGAATGTTTGCAAACAGTATTATAAAAACTACAACATCAGATAATCGATACTTTCAAGTTAATGTTTATGTTTCTAAAGTTCTATTTTTAGTTTTAGTATTTCTAATTTAAATATTGTCTAAAAACAAAGTGATTTATCTCAATATCAACGATCTTCCTCTATATTTTATTAAAATATCCATCTTTTTAATAATTCCTTCAAGTTCTTTTATTTGTTAAAGGTGTCTTTGTATATTTTTACTGACATTACTTTCTTCTGACAAGTTGATAAGTACATTGCAATAATAAAAACTGTAATGAAAATGTCTGTAATAAAAATTTCTTTGAAATTATTATGTAGTGTATAAATGTGCTGTATTATTATAATATCAATGTATACGTACAGATTTTGCAAAAACCATACCGTTGAGAGCCAAGAACAGAAGTACGTAGAACGCTTTCATGATCACAGTACGTTAAGCGCAATATATTTTACACTTATGGTGAAAATACTAAGTTTTTGCGAAGTGGTATTCCTTCGAGTAAAAGCAATTGGCGGTTGAAATATCTTGTTGTGCGTTTGACTTATTACGAACTTCCTTATAAAGGAATGCTATATCTTATCATTCTTTGAAAATTGTACGAAAATTACAGTATGAAATTACTGTTTTGCTAAACTTTTAAAAAAATATTTTTTGTTATCACAAGCGAATACTGCGTATTTACGTATACATTATCATGGAATTTCGGATGCACTCATAAATTTCATTTTTTTAATTAGTTATATAAAAAATTAGGATATTATAAAATAGCAATTATGTTATTGTTTTATATTACTTTAGAGCACTTATATTATCATCAGTTGAAAAACTTTTGATTTACATTACAGATGAAAAAAATCAGGTTTCTTTTACTTTAAAAAAATATCAGATAAAAAAGGGATTTTTTAATCAAAATGATATAAAATTTATGAAAAATGTATATTAAATTTATGTTAAATAAAGGAAAAAGATATAGAATTTAATTTCTTGATATTATTAAAATGTTTGATATCTATGTTATTTCGACATTATTTAATAGTTTTTATCTTTATTATTTTTTTTTAAATCAAAGCGTATACATACTTGCGTTATTATGAATTGCAGCCTAATAAATTGATACTCTTTACCAACAGCGATTTAACAAGTACATCGCTTATAATTATTCAAACGACATATTTTATATTTTATTTTAACTTTAAAAGCTAAATAAGCAATATATTACCTATACGTATTATTGTCAATACAGATAATGCTTTATTAGTATAATTGACACTATTTTGTTGTGCATAATATTGATAGTAATTATACGTATTTAAAATTTTAATTATTGAAGCAAAGTCTTAATATAATACCATTTAAGAATATTTCAACGATAAAAGAAACAGTAATTATTCTAATATCATTTGTATTAAACAATGTACAACAGTGTGTTAAATAATGTACAGTATGCGATATTTATTTAACTTTTAAAATTGGAATACAGTATAAAATATTGTCCAAATAATTATGTACGGTACTTAGGTAGTATATATTCTATAGGTGGCATATATTCATATTCACTGCCACTTATTAGTCATTGTACTACATTTTAATTTTTATATTAAACTGCGCAATTTGAAGAATTATAAGAATTTTTTCGCATTTGTAGAATTTGTTTATATATATGCTCATTTTATATAAAAACAAAATTAATGAATTATGAATTTTGAATTTTACTTTTTTATTCATAAACAGATCATGTTTCAGTATTAATAAAGTGCAGTAATTAATTTCAAAAAATAGTGTGCCTTTTTATGAAATCTATTGATATCGGCTCTATTTAATATATGCATAAATTGTATATAAAATTGTATATATAATATGTACATGTATGCATACATACGTATGTGTGCATACATACATATACAAGTTTTATAACTTTGAGAGGAACATAAAGTAATATCTTGATTTGACCTTGAATATTTAGTTTAAAAATCATAAAAAATATCTTTAATTTTTTTAAAGGAACTTCATTTTATTAAAAAGATCAACGTATATAACATTTGAATAAATTGTTTGTAAAAGTCGCATGATCATTCTTATATAATAAGTTATTATAAATTAAAGACCTACCATACAAAACTATTCTATCTATATATTTACAGATTTTATCTATGATATACACATTGATGTGCACCTGAATCCAAAACATTTTTTAGATTTATTTTCAACACATACAATCTTATAAATTTATTTTTGACGGTAAAACGTTTTAATTGTCGCTTGTTACATTTTGAGCTAGGAATATTGTTCACGATTATTGTAGAATTCTTAACATTATCTTAACATTATTTCTAGTCCAACGACAATAAGCGCGTTTATTTTTCCGTCATTCTTATTTTAGACAGGAATTTGAATAAGCAAAAAAGAAAAACCAATAATTCTCTTGACACTTAGATATTAATGTAATTATACCAGAGAGGATATGTATTAAAAAATATATTACTTGAACAAAAAGAGTCTTAATAATAAAGTCATTATTAGATAATTAATTATGCATATATCATGCATAATATTATGTTAAAATATGGAATATTTGAAAAGAGTTTTAATAACAAAATCATTATTAGATAATTAATTATGCATATATCATGCATTAATTAATATTAATATTAATATTAATTAATATTATGTTAAAATATGGAATATTTGAAATAACTTCATAACAGAATTTAGTTGCTCAATATACTATTTATTAGAAATGCAAAATATAAACAATATTTGTCGAAAAATTAAACGTGTTTAAAAAGAGGTACAGTGCATTCCAGTCATATGTATAATAGTAATGATGATAATATAATTTAATAAATAAAATGTTTCATAACAATGCCTTTACGATGTCGATAATAGAAATTATCCTTTCTGTAAGAAAATAAATCATCTATATACAAAACTCTAGAAATTATTAAATTATGACTAAAGATTCATTATAATATAACGTTCAGAGATATTCGTAACTTACATAATGCGTTTCATTTTTTTTTCATGGTCCACAAAGACCATCTAAAGATATACTTGCTAGAAGAGATCTTCCTACAGAACATACTAGTTGCTGCAACATTCAAAGAAATTCTCTATAAGTAATGATAAATGATTTTTTATTCAATTCTATTACTATTATAAGCATGATATAAATTATATAATCTTATTCATTTATTTATTTTCATAATGTTTAATCAAAAGTATTAATTTTAATAAAACAATTAGTGAAATTTCATAATTATTAAGATAGTTTTAAACTTCTAAAGTTTTTTATGATATTAATTTCTGTATTCGTTTTGTATTCCGAAAAAAAAATTTTAACTTTCAAAGAAAAAAAAAGACTTGTAATACATATATCATAGGTCAATGAATTATTTAGAAAGTATAATTAATTAATATTGCTAAGGCTTCCATGAGTACTTTCTATATAAAGATTTTGCGTTTCGCGATTTTCTTCCGTGTCCAGATTTTTTCTTAGAATGTTTCGTGTTGCCGATTTTTTTCCTAATCCACTCAAGTAAATCGATTATCGGGACGATGGGCCATATACTTCTTGATTTTTGTGTAAACTGATAGTATAATAAATCATTTTTATCCATATGTACTTTTTATCTTTTTTTCGAATTATATTTCTTGTATTCTAATAATAAATATAATTTTTTGTGTAATTTCTTTTTACATAATCCTTACCAAAAGCATTCTTATTAGGGGTATACCGCCTGACGATGGTAGTCCACCGCCTGGTGACGATGGTGGTTCACCACCTGGTGACGATGGTGGTCCACCGCCAGGTGCACCATTGCCAGGACCATTGCCTCCACCATTGCCACCATCATGAGAGGAATTAGGAGGTTTTAAATGAGGTGGTACTTTCTTTCGATCAACAGTCTAATAATTAAAAAAAAAGTAGAAAATTGAATCAAAAAAAGTTTAATAACAGTTAATTTAGCTGACAATTTCAAGCACCAAATTTATTAAGTTTGTTAAATAAATATAAACTCTAATAAATAAGCCCTGCTCTAACATTTCCGCTCTGTAGATGAACCATCTAGAATTATTCAGTATCTTAGTATTATATTGTTCGTTGCAATTAGATGTTCTTGATTTGTCATTGTAATCATTAGGTCTTTAACGTACCATAAACTTTATTTTAAAAAATATTATTTGCGATAATAACTCGGGAAAAAATGTTATGTATATATATGGACATATTTTATATAATTATATATAATTATATATATAATTGTACGTAATTGTGTGTATATAAAAATATCAATTTTTGTAACATAATTATATAAAAAATTCAGGATGTTCCGAAATTTTTTGCCAAGCATTCTTGATAGAACGGACTAAATAGAATCGAAAAGTCCTGTACAATTTTGCAATTTTCGCAAGATATTAATAGTTACATAGTAAACAAGATATTAATAAAAATAGCTAGATATTGATTCTCAAGAATTTTTTAAAATCCTATCAATTTTACAGAAAAAAAAGCGAGAGAAAAAAAATGTTTATTTCCTTCTCTTATATAAAATTCTGAGGATTTTTTTAGAATTTTTTCAGAATTTTTTAATACTGTATTTTCTCATGTTAGTAAAAATAGTTGCAAATAAGAAAATGCAGTACTAAAAAGTTGATAAAAAATTCTGAACAAATTCTTAGAGTTTTATGAGAAGAAAATAAACAATTTTTGTCTCTTGCAGTTTTTCCGTAAAATTAATAAATTCAAAATGGAATTCAAGATAAAAATTATTAAAGGCCAATATTTAGCAATTTTTAGTAATTAATATCTTGTTAATTATTGCGAAAATTACAAAATAGTAGAGGATTTTTCGACTCAGTTTAGTCCGCTCTATCTATCAAAAGAGCAGTTGGTAAAAAATTTCGGGACACTCTGTATATAATTTTAGATATTATTATAATCAATACAATATAATTATATAAATATATATATATGAAACATTTTTTTCCCGAGAAATTAAAATGAATAGATGAATGTATTATATCCTGAAGATATATTATAATGTTAAACTAAATAGGAATAATAATTCTGTTAAAATTCATTTTTTATTATTTCTCCAAGTTTCTTTTATTTATATGAAAAATATCTTTATATATACTTTATATATACTTTTCGCGATATTATTTTCTTTTATTAGGTAGATTGCAATAATGAAAATTGTTTTTAATAAAATTTTTTTAAAATTATTATGTACTAATTTGTGGTGTACTCTTATAATATATTGATAAATACATACCGATTTTGCAAAAACGATTCCGATGAGGGTTAACAACAGAAGAACATAGAATGCCTTCATGGTTAAAAAATACGTCAAACTCAATGTGTTATATACTTATAGTCTGAGAATTCTAAGTTTTTCTCTGCAAAGTATTTCTTTTCTTCTAGTAAAACCAATTGGCGATTGAAATATTTTGTCGTGCCTTTGACTTATTACAAACTCCCTTATAAAGGAATGCTATATCTTATCATTCTTTAAAATTTGCGACAATTATAGTATGAAATTACTGTTGCTATACTTTTAAAAGCACTCATTTTCATTATCGTGAGTGAATATTATTGTATATATTAACATATAATATATGTCATTGAAAGATTATATAAAATAACGATCCCAATTATGGGTCGTGTTCTAATTATAGGTCAAACTTGCAAAATTACAATGTTTTACAGATATACATGTATTAATAAATTACTAAAATTTTCGTATTTTTTGTTCTTTTATAACTATATTGTAATATAAAGTTACTTTCTCAATCATTATTAATATAAATTATGAATATGTATAATGACAGAGTATTCATTATTTAAGAAAAAATATTTAAGAAAATAAGTGAAATGTTATTTTAATTATTTAATAATTTTTTAAAATTATAATGCTCTTTAGCAGTGGATTGTATTTAATACACTATAACATTGTACAAATTAAAACAATGAATTTTAATATTATTTATTACTGATATAAATATCTAATTTTATATTAATAGTATCTAAACCTTAAACGCGTTTTTCTCCAAATCATGTTTCTCAAATCCGTTGACTTTATAACTCTCAAAAACTAATAATAGGATTGTCTTTATCTTATAAATAATTTGAAATAATGAATCTATATATATAACTTCTGTGTAATCTTATATAAATAAAATGTTAATAATAAACTTTCTTTTTTACTAAAAAGCATGTCTAAAAATAATAAAAAATCTAATCTTTTTTTCAAACAAATTTTAAAAACTGTTGTAATTTTTTACCCGGAACGAAGTTCCCACAGAAGAGGTATTAATAACATAATGATATAACATGTGACTACTAGTAACTCCACACTGTAAGGTGACTTTTTTTACTTTAATGTGGTCAAAACTCAACTTATAGTGGTGGTGCCATCTCGTGTACAAGAGTAAAGTACATAAAATCAATTAATTGCATGCTGAGCCAATTTTGGTCTTAAAATGTTTGTAGAATTATTTGCTCTAAGAATAACCCGATTCTGAATGTATTGCTCATTGTTTAAGTTAAAAAATTTCACCAGAAGTGTCGCGGTACTAGCGCACGTATAGTGATCGATATTGGTATAAATATAATTATTCAAAATTCTCGAAGTTTCTTTGCAGTATCTTAGAGTAAAAAAGTAGCAAAAATTTTGACATATGTATTTTTTTGTTTACAGTACGTAAACAAATCTCACATACTCTGTATGTGTTTTAAATGGAAATGGGGGTGCTTGCGTAATATGAAGTCAGCACCCCCACTTTTGAAATTAATTTCCTGCAAATAAAAAGAAGCACAAAATTCGGGACTAGAGGAATAAATTAGCACTCAATTAGTACTTAATTATGGCTTACAGATGAATTTTTTTTGTGGGGATACAGATTCACAGACATTAATATAATTTATTTTTTGACAAATATCTACTGAATAAGGGACCCCGCTATGATGACTGTGACCTTGATGCATATTATCAAGATTATTCTGATCGTATCCTCCGACAAGGAGATTTTACACGTAGGTCATTAATAATTATAAAGTTATTAACAACGAAAATTAAATAAATAGCGTCCTGTTTCTGCTACATACAATATTAAGAACTATCCCCTCCTTGTATAATGTTTCCACGCGAAACGAAGTCCATATCTTATTTTCCCTCCTGCTCACATCTGACTTTCCGCTTGAAACGAGCACACAACGTTTATAAAGTATTAACAAAACCTTAAAAAAGAGCATACAATCTTTTTTTTAGCACTTTGCAAGCGCTGCTGTGCTACTTGGAAAATCCATCCATACTCTTTAAAAGGTAAGTTATCGTTACAGATTATTAATTCTGAAAAACTCGTTATACAATAATTATAGTTACTGAAAAAATAACTTTTAGTTACTTTTAGTTACATTTTTTCATCAGAATTTTCAGCAGAATGTCATGAGTATCATCGATATTATTAGAGCTATATTTAGAAACGTTACCCGAGTCTCTTTATTCTTGTTGTTTATCTAATATTAAACAAGGATAATATACGGAGTTACTAGAGTAATGTAATTCTTCACAATTAAAGAAAAAGGCTGCTTTACATTTACATGTTATACAATTTTATTCAAAGAAAAATAAGAAAATTGTATGGTAAAGATGTTTCTCTTGAAAGTTATATAAACACCTACGAAATTATGGATGCTTTCCAATTGCAATATCCCTAGACACTTTTGTGCACATGGCAACACAAGTTGCGTTTCCAATTGCTCGTTATCATCGACACAACACTACATATGTACTCAGCTGTGTAAGCTTGTGTTTTCTAGTGACAATTACATGTTACTAACCGCGACGGCTATAAATGAGATTGAAGAACGTTGAGTAGTAGACATTTTTACTTGTTTTATTTAATACAGGCGGAAAAAGTTACCTTGATCTAACTCTACTTAAAACGAATCAAAACCGTACACAGTGTACACATTTCTGTTCCAACCGAATCGTGTATAATGCTACACTTTGTGCATTCCTGTGTACATTTGTTTTAAGATGTATTAAGCAATTGGAAAGCATCCGTAAATTAAAAAACATTTTTGTATATATGTATTTTTTAAAATTAATTAAGGTATAATTCTTAATTAATTAATAACATTAATCTTCATTTTATATTTGGCTAAAAGTTGTAAATTCCAGCACTAATCCAAAATATTAATAAAAATTTTTATTAATTTTTAACAAAATTTGATATTGTGTCATCATATAAATTTTCTCTCTGTGATGTTACATGGAACTATCAATATTGAATATTCGTTCGATAAGAAGCACTACTCGGAAGCCGTTTAATGAAGAATTTTTTATTCTGTCATAATTATTTATCATGTCAACATTAGAATTATTGGAATTCAAAAAGGGTACAATTCTTCTTTTAAAAGTTCGATTTTTTTTGTTCGTTGGTTAAAATGAAAAAAAATCATCCTGATCGCTGAATTTTTCACTAATTAGAGAACTTTCATTTATAGTATTTCTCTAGTTATACGCACATTTCTTTTCACGAATAGAGGCTCAGTACTAGTAGTGAATATGAACGCAAATCATAATCGATCATATGTAAGTTACGGTCTACTTGCTATAAATGTTTTGAAGTATTCTCTGATCAATTAGTAAATTTCTTTCTTCTGGTTGGTCAATTAAATGTTTCGAAGCATAGTACAAAGTGGACCGCAAATTAAATAGAAACGTTCTTGAAATTTTGTAAAATAATAAGCATAAAAAAATACGTCTATGATAATATTTATATCTTTGAAATATACAATTTTCTGTTTTTAATTGTGTAATTTAATTGTGTAATTAAATTCGTAATGTATAAGAATATTTTTTAATCACAAAGCCTATATGTTGATATTTTCTCCGTTATTTTCATCACATATCTTCATATAAATAATTAAATAACCAATTCTCTGTTTGCAGGCGAGAATTGTTAAGTTCAAAAGTAAAAAATTGTTTTGTTAATATATAAAATTCGTTTAATTGACAAGAAGCGTCGATTATTATTTACAGCTATCTTTTGGATGAATTTCATATCTAGGGGAAGTCCAAGCAAAGTAGATGTGTTAATGTTTGGAAAAAAAATGACGCAGTTAAAATTAAAATCAGAAACCTTTTTTATTCTCATAATTCTATTAATGGAATTAATCTTAAAATAAAATAAAGAAACTTAAACATTTAAATGTCTTTTCAAAACGTAAAAAAAAAAATTATCCGCTTTGCTTGACTCCTCTGGGCAAAGTAGATAGGTCACTCGAGCAATAAGAATGGAATTAAAAAAAGCAAAATCAGTGTCTGCAGTCGTCACAAAAATAGCTACTAAATCGTCTATATATGTATAGTGTAGTGACTTCATAAGTCCATTTGGACATATTTGTTGCACTAGATCTAGTCTTCGGATGATGGGTCGGTGTATTTTTTAGAACATGTATCATACTGTATTGTGAACAAAAAAGCAAAAATGAAATGTAAACAATCATCTGAATTCTTTTTGTTCACTCGAAAGATTGTCTGTCCTTCCGTCTTCCCAGTATTATTTTCAATGCATCACTGAGGATAGAACATTCGCTTTGCCCCCATCCCAAAGAACTACTTGGCGCGAATTTGAAAAAGTTAGAATAAGTTTAAGCAATAAGTAAAAAATTTTAACCTTAAATACACATTTAATGTCAAAGAATTCTTATAAAAAATCATTCACACTGGTTAAGAAACAGTTACTACTAATAGTTACACTACGTACCTTAGCGAAAATCGCAAGAAAACATAAAATTTCTCTTATTCCTCTATCAAACACAAACGAGCGTAATCATATATTGTTTCGCAATTTCATGCATCGCCAATCAATTATTTCTTCAACAGTTAGAGACTCATAGTACTATCTCAGATAGATAAGCGAAAATAAAAAAATATTCGCTTTGCCCAGAGCGTTCGCTTTGCTTGGACTTTTCCTATTCTTTTACGACTATAAAGTTAAATACAACGTATTTAATTGTAAATAGAACGTATTTAATTGTAACTGTACACTTGGATAACAAATTATTATATATTATAATAGTTAATATATATCTATTATTGCTCGTTATAGATCTTGTGACTTAAGACACTTCTATTTAATATTTTGTTATTGTTATTAAAAATAACAAAAATATTTTATTTTATTAGTTTAGTTGAAAGAAATACTGTGTATATGTGATGTAGACATCAATCAGACCATTTTTATTGCGTTAATAAAAAATTGTAATAGAAAATAAGTTAATCATAGTTATCGTAATCAAATATAAATGAAATACAATGTGAAACTTATTGCACCCATAAAGTCGAACCACTAGAGAAGATTTTGCTATAAGCTATCAAATATAAAATTGCAATCACATTGAAATTTGATAACTGACCACAAAATTCAGACTTC